TCTCGATAATTGTAAAAATAATATATTTCTATTAAGTATAGGAAACACCGCGGCATAGAGGGGTGTTGTGAGGGCGTAGGATAACACATTTTTTTTCATCAAGAAATCATTATCTAAATCCTGCCACGTAGACGTGCTGTCAATCATTTTGTCTACGTATAATACGTCAAAGAACATATACGTGTACAATTACGTTTTTATACTATGATTGCATTTCATCGTGCGGAACGAACTTCACAATTAAAAGAATGCCTAGTCCACATGTCGCATGTCACAGTTTAATTGATTTTCGTTAAAATAAATCTACTTCAACTAATCCTAATATTCCAGAAAATATTCGGACAACTCTCTTTGATATATTTTGTCTAGTGTATTGAAATGAATATACTGTGCATTGCGTATTTCGCCATTCATCGTTTAAGCCGGCGAATGTTATTTCATTTCACAATAGCGTCTCATATTTCACAACTAGCTCACTAAATTCGCTTGAAATACACTCTGATCCCTCGTCAAATCACATACGATGTTTTTAGAACCACTCACTCTAATCCATGTGTACATATATGTAGTAAGTAGCGTCTTCGCGATAAGCAATAAGTGCACCCACTTTACATTTCTATCAAGCTTTAGTCATGTGTATTTCCCCCATTCATCTGTACATTAATAGGACTATATGTACACTTCGTCGACATTTTAGTCACTTGTATACGTTTTACAACTACAGCAAAGAACAACATAATGTCTTTGTATTGCACGTAGTTATTAGGCGATACGCGTCTGAAATGTACACGCCCACACTGTTATCACCAATGCACGTTCCTGTTCGTGAGTGATTTTCTATTCGTTCTGTGCGAGCTTCAAAACGCATTAGTATTCCCAGTTGAAGATTTGGTTAGTAAGTATTCTTCAATAAAAATTAGCTGTCGCAAAAAAACAATGGAACAGTGTGGTTTGTAGTCAAAAGTAGTAATATTTCACTGCATATAAACTGATGCAAATGTAAATAGTTAATATATTGTTTGTCTCTGCACACTATTTACTGTTTTATTTATTTTACTTTAGCGGCCACAGTCACGTGCATCCAGTGACGGTACAGTCCAACATGGGCAAGTGTTCACGACAGTTGCAACGTATAAGGTATATGGTAATTGCGTCATTTAGTATTCTTTCATCTGATCTCAAGGTTGACAAATGTTCAATAAACATGTATATAATTTATATACCCTGGGAGTTTTAAAATGGCGCACTTCCGGTATATGGGCAGCGCATATCATGACATATATTGCATATATTGCTATGGATAGGTACTTACGTTGCCGATTAAGCTATACATTGTGTATAACGTTTGTAAAAACATATTTTGTTACATTCAGGGAATTGTTGTGGCTGTCAAGCATATAAATACGGATAAGATTGACCTATCCCGAAGTCTTCTTCTAGAGTTAAAACATGTAAGTTCAAAAAGACCTAAAACACAATGGGTGCCGATATCTTGTTGAGAACGAGTAAGGCCATGAGACTTGTGTTTCTCTCACCTGACGAGACCTCGGCGGCCATTTTCGTCTTAAATCTGTTCACATCAATGTCTATAGATTGGTACATTCTTTCTTTCTTTGGCCATATACAGCTCTGACATTGATTCCCGTCCGAAATTATACAAACTTGGCTATAGTTAGCTTATGTTCCCGTGAGGTCGTATCGCAACAAAGTCGGGAAACGCAAGTTTTGAATATTATAATGTTATTTTCTCAGATGCGAGATCTCCACCATAGTAATATCACAAGCTTTGTTGGCGCATGCGTGGACACCCCAAATATTTGTATATTGATGGAGTACTGTTCTAAGGGCAGTTTACAGGTAATATGAACCCATTCTTTTTGCACTTACTGTTTTGCTGATTTTATGTCATCTACGGCCGAGAACAAAACAGTGTGACTTCGTTTTGTATGTGTTAACTATGGAGTCGCTTGTCTCACACGCGCAGAAATAGATGTCGATGTTAATGGAAGTGCTAACGATTACAATTATAAAGCGTGTGAATTCAAGAAAACGCTCATATCGAAATGAGACATGTTGGTAATCAACAACATAAACACATTATTGATAACTCCTAGGTTACACGCATCCACAGACCCGCAGCGTGCATGCAATGTACATGCTATGCGTTACTCTGCTGTAGGCAGAACAAAGACAATACACAGCCATAATACGTGTTCTCTATACATATACCCACAGGATATTCTTCAGAACGATGCCATAAAGTTGGACTGGGTTTTCAGATCGTCACTCGTACAAGACATAGTTTCGGTTAGTAAAATAAATACAAATAAGATTCAGCGAAACGTTTCACTATGTGTCATGAGATAAATAATGCGCCATCACCGGTTCAATGTAGCGATTTGGGAAAACGAGAAAACGTACTTTTTCCAAAATCTCTGATTGTATTATAATATATTATATATATATATTTATCGTTGTCCAAAATGTTTTGTGCGCGACGCATTTGGTGCCTTATTTTCAGTTTATTTTTGAAAACCTAGTTGCGAATAAACAGTTGCTTAGTTTCGTTGTTTCTGTGAGATCGTCTATCATTTTTTCCCAGAATGACTCAAAAATTTGTTTGTCGGCGGTCAAATACGAAGTAATCGTTTATTGAGTTTTTAGTCCCCGTTCGGACGAAGTCCGAAAGCGGGTACTTATAATTCGGTCTCCGTCCGTGCGTCTGTGCGTCCGTGCGTCCGTGCGTCCGTGCGTCTGTGCGTCCGTCCGGAGTCGTATCTCAGAATCCCTTGGACAGATTCCGTTCATTCTTTGCATGTGCCTAGTAGTTTATGTGAGACATATGCACATGCAGTGGTTTAGCGATTCGATTCAAAATGGCCGACTGGCAGCCATCTTATTTTTTGAAAATGTTGTATTTTGGACATGCTTTGTCAGTTTTCATTCAAACTTGGTACGTAGATTATACATGTTAGGATACATCTCCATGACGATTTATTTCACAATTGGATCAAAGATGACCGACTGGCAGCCATCATGTTTTTTGAAAATGTTGTATTTTGGACATGCTTTGTCTGTTTTCATTCAAATTTAGTACATAGATCTTACATGTTAGGATACATGTCCCCGACCATCCGTGAGTTCCTGAGTCTGTCCGTCCGTCCGTGTGTCCGTCCCTCCGTGTGTCAGTATGTCCAGAGTCATATATCAGAATCCTGTGGACCGATTCCGTTCATTCTTTGCATGTGCCTAGTACCTTATGTGGGACATATGCACATGCAGTGGATTAGCGATTTGATTCAAAACTGGCAGCCATATTGTTTTTTGAAAATGTTGTATTTTGGACATGCTTTGTCAGTTGTCATTCAAACTTGGTACATAGATTATACATGTTGGGATACATGTCCATGGCGATTTATTTCGCAATTGGATCAAAGATGGTCGACTGGCAGGCATTTTGTTTCTTTTTTTATACCGTATCTTGGACGTGCTCTGTCAGTTTTCATTCATATTTGGCACATACATCATACATATCAGTGTGTTTCATAATCAGATCAAAGATGGCCAAATAACGGCTGTTTTCATTTTTCGCCATATTACTACTACAAGGAACACGTGTTTTGATGTAAATAAACAATCTGTTGTATACCCCACTTGGAATTCAAGTTTCAAGGACACGCTCGCGACAACCCTCCGCTTTAATATGACGAGCACAAAGAGAACTTTCAAAAAATTAACGGGGACTGTGTCATTTTCAATGACTTCTTGAGGAAACTGATTTTTAACTATCGTTACTATTGGAAATTTAATCTTACAATACTCTTCTCCGCGCTAACAATGCACGAATTACACTATCCATCCATCGATTTCAAAAAGTATTAACTTGTAAAGTAACTGCGACAAAATTAAAATCAAGCGAGCGAGCAACGGCAAATTTCGCAAAAAACTCAGTACATTCTGGATAGGTTTACTGGAACTCTAGTAACCAAATGTTCCAAGCAATTATCAACACGAAATGTACACGTTCATACTTCATATATATTACCATAGTTACATGCTTAGTAACTGATGAAGAATTTCATAATCGCAATTAAACTATCGACACTCGTTTTTTCTCCTACCGCAACCTTAATATATTTTATAATCAAAACGTATTCACGTTGTTATAATCGTGCTGATCGATAGTTTCCGTATTACAGTACATGATATAATCTTTTTGCAATCTTTTTACAGGGTCTGCAGTATATACACGGCAGCATTGTGCGTTGTCATGGTAGATTGAAATCGTCCAATTGTGTGGTTGACAGCCGATTTGTGTTGAAATTAACCGATTTTGGTTTAGAGAAATTCAGAAAAGAGGAGGTGGAAGCGGAGAAAACGCATGCATGTTATAGAAGTGAGTGTAAGAAGTGTTATCACATGTAAATACAGGTAGCATTCATATTACATTTTGCAGACTTAGTGTAATCTTGTAAGTTGATGCCTCCTAATTTAGAAAGGATTAGAAATTTCGCCTTTGACTATATTTTTTTCAAAATTGGTTCTTCAAAATTATTAAGCACGGTAGCTCCGCGTTCAATTCGATGGACGTGCTGACGCCCTATGATAATAAAAAAAATCTATAACGGGCGAGTTTGCATAAACGCTCGGCTATGTTCGGCTATGTTCGGCAGTTCTCAAACAACTTCTTAGCGTTTCTTGCGACTACCGTATTTGTTGCATTTTATATATAATAACACATACTACTACTTCATCAGTCAAAAGGTGCAAAAGAAATATATTCAATAATAATACAACTTTAAGACATACGAATTTCAAATACGGAATGATTACGCGGCATTTCTAAGAAGGCCGACATGTTTGAAAACGGATTCGAAATTCATAGCGAGAACTTCCACGATTTTCACTCGCGTTGACTAGTGACGTACTTACTTATTGTATATTTCGTGACAGTGATCTCATCACTTATAGAGTATATTTCGTATCAGTCACCTGCTTTGTCTATTTCATTGTTCAATGATATCAGAAATGTTGTGGTGTAGTCCAGAGATCCTTCGTCAAAATGACTCGCAGAAAGGTTCACAGAAAGGCGATGTATATAGCTTTGGTATCATATTGCAAGAAATTGTTTTGAGGACAGAACCGTTTGAAAATCCAGAAAGTGACCAGACATTGACACCCCAAGGTAAACACGATTTAGGTGATTTTCCGTTCAACTGCGAGATTTCGTGAGATGCATGAAAGACGCGCGTCGAACGTCTGCCGCAAAAATCGAACGATTTTATTTTGAACACGAATTTCTTTATTTCGTAGCTCGCATCGACCGGCCGATCTTCGACAGAGGAATATTGCTTCCGAATACCCTTACTTAATCGAAATTGACCATCATCAAATGTGGACAGCACATTATTAAGCATGGAAATGTCCCCCAAATACTTTCGCGTTTGTCGAATCCTACGCGATATTTGACGCCACTACGACGCTATGACCTTTGTTTGTCCTGTGTTTACGTTCGATTTCACGTATAACGCGTGATTCTCGCAGTGAGCGGAAAATGGTCTATTTATCAAATACGCCTAGATGTGACGTCAGTTTGTTTATATTTTGAAATATGCATAAAATGTGGGGACATATTTAAAAACGATAAACAACAGCAAAAATAAAGATGGTTTGCGACAACTATGTTCGATCCGACCCCGGTTCGCAACGCCTGCTTTGTTTTTTCATCACGTGTTTAACATTTCTATGATACGCGCCCCCTAGTGATGAAACTATCACAGATAAAAAAAATAAACGTTATAAACGGCAATTATTGCTTCACTAGAGGGCGCGAATCATGGTAACAGTGTAATTAGGCTGGTGATAAGAATTACGTGATTTGTATTCACTACATGCATCATATATTTGATTTGATTTTTTACACGCTTTCTTTCTTTTTTTTTCCAAAACCAGAAATAATTGCAAAAGTTACCAAATGTGAGGAACCTGTGTTCAGACCTCAAATCCCGGACGGTGCTTGCCCGGCGGAAATATACACATTGATGCAGAGATGCTGGTCAGAACTTCCAGAAGACAGACCCGATGTTCCTGCTCTGAAACACACGATGTCAAAAATTAACAAGTAAGAAATATTTAACTGTCAAATAACTGTCAAATTGTTATATTTCTGGGCATTATTATTGCATTAGTTGCTCAGTATAACATTTTATTATATTATTTTTATAATGTATTATTTTCGGGCATTGGTCTATTTGTTTTGACAATGATATGTTATGCGGTACCAAACTTTTTGCTGAATTCTTCATGACTGTTGTATTCAAGTTCTGCATTACAATTTGTTGATTGCCTAATGTACATATTGGCTGATTAAAACACAAACGGAATTTAAAGTTGAAGTCAACACGCGTATGTAATTCGGGTTGTCAGCATTTCTCCTCATCATCATGTCCATTACTTACACCCCGTAAGTAATGGAAATTGCCATTAACATAGATCTATGAACGAGGCCCATTATTACTGAATGTATGTACATATGTACTTGCCCTTAGCTGAGAGAATGTAGTATATCGATTTTGACAGCAGTTTTAATCTATTTAGAGGTCGCGTTGACACAAATGTATGGACCCGGAACGCCAAACACGCTTAGGATTCGTGGCAATAAATATCTGTGCCTGGAAAAACAAACAAAATCACATCGACTGATTACACTGACGTTATGCGCTATGGATTTTAAAACGCATTCACACAAATTGACTAGTCACGTAATTTGCAGTCCTACCTTGATATTTCGCCCGCAAGTGATTATTGTGGAATCGAAACATATAAATGACATGAATATGCGGAAGTATAATTTTGATACACACAGCGCCTGAGATCATGCAAGAC